ATGTCGAATTTCCGTCATAATAGTAAAGTCAAAGAAGAACAAATACCAATTGAAAGGTGATCATTGAAATGCTTTTTAATGCATGTACGACTATGTAAAATAATGAATCTTATAAAAACTGCTGGGCAATATAACGTCGAAGTCTTTTATAACGTGGCATTGAATAAATAGCAGATGTGTTTGCTAAAATACATCGGAATTCCTTATGTGGCATTAGAACTAATTTAAAATCATTTGTTCCTCCAATACGTTCCACAGCCGTGTTCGGTACTAACAGTGAACATAAAACCGAGAGAGAAGCATTTTCCTATATACTTCAGTGAGACACATTATTTCTTTATTTTTTTTTTTCAATCACATGAATCTTAATAAGTACCAAGTGCCTAATATAAGATCAAGTTTCAATATACCCTGAACTACCCACATATAGGTAGAGGAACCCCAAACGAGTTCGCCGTATACTTTTACTTGCTTATCGAGGATCAAAATAAATATGTATAGATATCGTACGGCAGAGGCTTGGCTCAAAAAAAAACAGGAATGGCAATTAGGTTGTCTATACACAGGACATATCTTACATAGAGTACGAGATAAAATTAGTTTAGACCGAAGTTTGCGAGGGCGACGATTCTCGCGGGTGTCGATATATCCTATGTTTCATCGACGACGATCGTTACGTCTGCAACAAAAGAACACCAATTATATTACATTACTCATAAAGATGAATGATTTCAAATTTTATTATTTATATCTATCTCAAATTTTATTTATTATAAAAAATTCTTTGCTAATATTATGATATTAGCATCTCAACATTTATGCATTTTATTTATTTTTTTTAATATTTTGCATTAACATAATAAACAATTGAAATTTGATTTCTCGTTATGCTTACCGAATCAACAAGAATCACGTTCTAGTCATCGCGTTGGCACAGCCTTTATGTGTTGTTATAAAGTTGGTGGTGGGTTTGATGTTGACTCGGATGCGAGTGTTGCAGCGTGTGTTGGTGCTGATGGGGGTGTTGATGCTGTACTGTGGGATGCCTCGCATTATATCTAACACTACCGGCGAGCGAACTTCCCCTGCCGTGAGGGCCGACCATGCTCTGCGTATCGGACAGCTCATCCTCCTCTGCACCAAGACTCCGGAACCTAACGAAGCCATCCTCGGCGACTAGCATCGTCGAGCCGCTGGTTGGAGCTTGTTCGTGTAGGCCTTGTACAGGCGTATGCCTCCCGCGAGTCTCCGAGTTCCTTAGGGTTTGTATACCGTTTCCATGGCGACTTAAGGAATCCCGACCTTCGTGAGGAAAGTGGCCCATTGTACCTGACTTGCGGATGGAATGTCTCTCAAAGGTACCTGTGCAACAAATAATCATTAGTTATTGCAAATTAATTAACAGTTATATTAAACAGTCCGATAATTAATATATCAGTTTTTTTTTAGATTGATAATGAGAAGTAAATTTTAAACATTCAATTATAAATAGATTGTTAATGAGAAATATGAGATGTTACAATTTTTTTACCTGATATGTTCAAATGCTCGGGCAAAGTATTCAGTGGAAAACTATCGTCGTAGACTTGTTTTCCCGTTCTCATGGTATAATTTTGAATCGCTTGGTTGGTACTACATATGGCGGGGTAGAGTACGTCGTCCATGTTTTCCGTAGAGGTGGAACTGCCGCAGGGGAACAGAGCGAAGCCCGAGTGTGCCGAGTGTTGCTGCATCTGTTTCTCGCGCAACGGATATTGAGATAAGCTGGCAACCCAGGCTAGGAGACCACAAACGGATAGCTCTAGTAATCTGACGGAGAATTGCCAGCCCCACCAGAGCCATGGAAATTGTTGCGGACGTTCCTGAACGCCGAATACGCCGTAGAGTTGCACGAGGCCCATCAGGATGAACAACAGAGCGGTGGCAATAGTAGTGGTGATGGCAGTGCTGAGAGCCACTGTAGTAGGATCGGCGCCCATCATGTGATTTGCGCCGGCTGCCTTATTGCTGGCCATATGAATCTGCGAACGCACCACGCGGTACACGTACATGTAGCATAGACCTAGCGTGATGCAGACGATGATGTAAATGCACTGGCAGATGAGCGGCAGGATTCTCGCCTCGTCCTGATAGCCGAGCATGTGCGCGGACACGTGCAGGGATACGCACAGTATAATGTGCACCGTGGATGAAAATACGAGCGTAATAGGCGAGAGGATGTTGTTGTTAAGCGATGGTGCTTCCGAGCACCGGGCAAGGTACAACATCAGAGTAGCAAACGCCGTAGACAAGAGTGGTGCCGGCAGGTACATTAGCACTCTAGACAATGACTCCGGCAGCGAATGTCCGAGATTGTAAGCGTCGTAAAAGAGGTGAAAGCACCTCAGAGTGCAGATTGTAGTCAACAGTAGATGAACGGCTAGGAAGTACGATTGCGTGAGTAGATTCGTTGCTTCATTGAAACGCACGATCTTGTAGATCGAATACAAGGCCATGAGCGTAAACATAATCGCCGCGACATACACGTGTAGCGACCAGGCGATTCGCCACGTAGACTCAAGTGGATGCGTGTCGACGTGCGGTACCAAACGGTCATCATCGTCGTCGTCGTCGACGTTTGCTGGTCGCTTTGGCGTTGGCGCTGGCGGCTGCGCTTGCGGATACGGTAACCTCTCCGTATCCACTATTTCGATACTATCAGTGTCGTGTTCGTTTCTCAGGCCGTGATGATAGCCGTCGTCGTCCTGTCGGCCAGTGTTTGGTAGGTTGAAGATCGTCGGCTGCGTGACGGCAATCTTCGAAGGATCCACGGTACTGCCGGGCGCTTTTGGCGTCATGGTGCTCGGCAGCGACGTAGTTTTATCGGTCGTTGGGGCAGGAGGAATATTCGGCAGCAACGGACTTTTCGTAGCTAAAGGCTTTAACAGGATATCGGGAATATCCTGTTTTCTGCCGTTGCTGCCAGACAAGATCCTAGAAATACTGGGGTAATGAAGAGTCACGAACGAAGGATCGTTCGTGCCGTTCTTTCGATCGGCCTCACCAGATTCCGCCGGCCTCTGCTCTCTGCTGTCGGGCACATTTACCGGTTTGTTCCTCGTATGAGAATGATGCCTCTCTGGTACTTGAGAAGGACTCTGAGGTAGATCCGGCGGTCGGATGGGTATCCGCTCGTGCGCCGGCGTCAAGCTCGGTGGCGGTACCGGTCTCCTGTTATTGGTATGCACGTCCGAGTTGGTGCCTCGCAGCGTGGGTTTATCGGCGAATGGGTGCAGGTACTCCGGCGGTAGGGGTGGCGTGAAGAGTGCCCTGGAAGGCGGCGCGTACGACGGTAGATCTCGAAAGACGGGCGATGCTGTGGCTCGTGGCACCGCCGGATACTTAATAGCGGGTATCGACGGGCTAGCGGTGGTTGTACTGGTGATCGTACTGGTGGTTAATGGCGATGGTACCGTCGACAACGTTGTGCTAGCCGACACTTGAGCATCGTATGCCGGCACACTGCGCTTCGTGGTCGCGGAACTATGTGCCACCTTGTTGAAGATCGCCGCTAAGTTCTTTTCCAGAACAGTGTGATCCAGATTGAAGATCGGGCCATTAGGCTTACCATCGCTGCTCGCTGAGCAGACGGTCGAGCAGGATTGTATGGCCAGCAGAGCGGATAGAAGGAGCAGCCGCATTATCGGGGTCATGATGCTCGTATTGAAGATGATGATCGTGGACACTTAGATGCCCCGTCCGGGCATCGATTCATTCCATAACACAGTCAACGCCGCTTCGCGACGAAGACGATGTCGGGCAGGAAACTTTTGAATCCGTAAGGACACTTGTTGGAACGAGTCTTTGTCGATCCCGTATGTCGATCTATTATTCCGTATGTTCCTCCCTTTCTCTCGTTCCACGATTTCCGTTCGAAGATACTGATTTCCTCACACGGAATTCTGCCACACGTCACATTCCTGAGATTGGCTGTCTCTAGGTCCTCTTACCGTGTCATTCCTTTTCCTTGCGACATCCGGTACGGTTCTCTTCGACGTTGACGTAGCGTTATATTTTATAGCCTGTACACTTTCGCGATCGATCGTGGATACTGTCGATACACACGAAAGATTTCGATGAAATAGGATGGGGTTAATAGTGTCTTCTTTGTAACTATATTTGTATCTACATTTTTCAGTGTTCCGCATCAAATAGAATCTCCCTTGACACCGCGATGTGTCGAGCGATTAGGCGGCGTGTAAAAACAGAATTCAATTTCTTCCTCGCAGCATCCACCATCCTCGGGGTCCACTACCGTCTCGTCTCATGTGCTTTCATTATATACGGAATACGCGAGCCAATCGCCCCTGGATTATTTTGCCGTGTTAACTTTGTTACCGTTGTCCCACAGTTGACTCGATTTAAAATCTATCTACTTGCGCGACCGATACAGCGACGACACGGGCTTGTTAACTGAGTTTGATCCGATATCGCTGTTGCTGCTGCTGTTGCTGCTGCTCTTGCCGCTTTTGCTCCCAGAAGGCCATCCCAAATCCGCGAGAGCCCCGGCTGGAACGTGAATCGCCGGGGGAGCATTTAACGCGCCGAATTGGCCCGTATTCCTAGTCGCCGACGCGGCTTTGTAATTACTGTATCCATTTCTTTAATTGGGAGCTCGTTGCAATCATCCGTTTCTCCTTTACGATTCTTTCGTGAGAGTGCCGGGTACCTACAAAAAAATATCTGTCGTTAATTTAAAGAAGTAACTTAGAACACAATAACATTTTTAATATATACGAATTTAATTTAATAAATAGACTTCGTTTAAAAAAAATTTCAGAAATATTTTCATTTCTTAATTATACTGGATTTTACATACATTTTTTATGTATAATATTATACAAAGCAAAGTATTATATAAAAAAATTGAATTTGTTTAGGAAAATACAATTTCTAAATTAAAAGAATTAAAAAAACAAATGATTTTAGTTTTTCACGATTCATTTCAAATACATTAGAATTCTTATGTACTATTTTCAGAAACATGCAAAACTCAGTTTCATAAACAATTATTTATTTATTCTATTGAAATTTTGTTAACTAGTTTTATTTTTAAAATAAATTTTCAGTTTCTCAAATTCCTCGAATCTTAATATTTCTTTATTAATTCTATTTCTTCTTTATCGATTACTTTTGCATGCCAGAATTTAAAGTAAATATTCCAAAGCGTAACTGTTAAGAATTTCAATCGAATATCAATAACTTTGTTGCTCAATAATGTAAAACACTTAATATAGAATAAATTTGCAAAAAATCTTTAAATTATAGGAAAACTTACAATCTTTTATGTAAAATTAAATAATTGAAAATTTCTTGACTTTTTTGATAAAATTTAATGTTCTTAAAATGTTTATATAGTGGAGTTTTAAGTAAGAAAAAAACGTAAGAAAAAGAAAAAAGAGAGAGAGTAGATTTAGGTGTTTCGTTTGCGGCAAGTCGTAGGTAAATTTAAGCGGTTGTTTACATTCCCGATTTTGATAACATAACGCGTTTCATCATGCATCAATTAATCGTATAATATAAACGGATAAAAATAAATGTACATCACAATATCCGTTACACATCATTAATTTACGCGTTATTAATATTATTAGCCTGCAGAAATATGTAAACGAGCAAGTTCGCACTAGACATAATTGAGTTATTCATAAATACTACTATTTATCGTTACTAAGTTAATTAATTCCAGTATTGGCCGCTGCTGCCACCGGCTAATAATTCGCTCTTAGTAATCGATCGTAAAACGATCCGGGTGGCAAGGTATAAATTTCTGCGATATCTTAGACAACGAAGGAAGTCTTACAAAACGATCGCCCCGACTCTTCGCGATACAGCCAGGAAATTGATTCGACCAGGTAAGACGGACACATGGATGAGTCAGTCATGACGAAGGTAAAGGAGTGACCATTGATTTCTTTCCCCGGCTATCGTCCAATATCTCGTTCCGCGAAATGAAACTTAATAACGAGGACATCTCTTCCGACCGCGAGAGATTCGATTTTTCAATCATTCGCCGTTAGTAATAGACGTAGATAGACGCATGATGTACGATACATATATTTCATAACGAGATATTCTGAATATTCCGAATAGACAATACAATGCTAATCACTGAAACAAATCTAAACAGGTAGATGTAAACGTTGATTGGTTGAATTACCACGCCAGTAAACCGTAATGACTAATGATCAAGTGATTATCTCATAATAGTACAACATTATGAGATTCATCCGGAATGTCATTATAATAAAAAAAAGTGTTAACAGTAATGACATATTTTTATTGCGCTAACTTGACGAGAGATAAATTGAATAAAAATGTTGCATACAGTAAGTTGAATCGGCTAACAATATCTTTTAAATTTATTTTGTCATTTTATTTTTGTAACTAAACTAGTATATACCTTTTGTTTTGTGTTTGCACACGGAAAGAACGATTTTGCTGAAGTATCTGAAAACTTAGCTGGATATAAATCTGAAAATATATGCTGTAAAAAGTTTTGATTCTAGCAACCAATATGAGCGTTCTGCATAATTATTTTAATGGCCCGACAAAATTATTTTTAAATCTGTATCTAGCTAAATTTTTAGATGTTTCAGCAAAATCTTTCTTTCGCGTACTTAAAATAAAATAGGTATATATTTAGCGAAAGCAAGAAGAAAACTTCTAGTATAATTAGCGCAGCAATTAACAACTTATTAAAAAACAAACTTATTGTCTATTTTGTTTCGTAAACCAAGAGTGTTTCGTAGTAAAAATAGTAGCTTACATATGATTAAGAGTTATTATCGTATGTATGGTTGTTCAACGATGATATAATCCAATACTGAGATCAGAACGGTCACAGGAGACTGAATCCATATAGTCGATATTATGATTCATAGGCGATCAGAAATATCTCGTGACACTTTATAGATAGCAAAAAGTACATCTACGTCAAAATCAAGTATGATAAAATATAGATGTATGCTTTGAGTGTTAGATGAGGTGTCACGATGGAATGCGTATACTCTTTCCAGGCTGACAAAAACGGCTAGAGTAGATACATGTAGTTAATCTAGAAGCTATTTGTCTCTTTTTCAACGAATATTTTAAGGCCGGTCGTATCTTAAAATATTCGTTGCATGCTACCTTACGTGTAACCTGATTTTCAAATACTACCGCTATCAAGATTCTGTCGAGCAAAAGTGGATAACGTTTGACATCTATGGAAGAATGTAAAAATAAATCAATCACGTATCACAAAATCATAAATAACCTCATGATATTATTAGCAGTGTTACTTGCTTCACATATTTGAAAATATATCGTCGGAAATTTTGAATTCAGAACATTAATAAATTCAATCTTTTTATAGAAGTGTTTTGAAATGTCTACACGTATTTACACTTCTTGCAAATTACATTTTATTAAAATTCATATTTTTTAGTGAATAATTTCCTTAATTTTAATATAAAGATGTAATAATTATTAATGTATACGCTATAAATCTATTAAAAAACTCTAAAATTGAAGGATTATATAGTAAGAGATAAATTAAATTATCTCACTTCATGTAATAAAATACGATTTTTTTATATTTTACTCTATCATTTTACAATTTATTATTATTTATTGCAAACAATTTTTTCTGTTTGAAATTCAAAAAGACACCTGCTGATGCTTTGATACTTTTGTAAAGACGTAACCTATTCATAAATTCATAAAATAATTCGCAGATTGACGAAACGATGATAATTCTATAATATTTTCATGTAGTCACATGTTACACCAGTTTAGCATATAAATCTCGTATCGATATATACCACCCGGTCATTTCGATAATTACAAGCTTCGTGACATAGAATCGTTGAAATCGTTCGCGGTAAAAGGGCATTATGCTGATACATATTTGCGATCCGCATGTCACGATAATAGTCTGTGAATTAAGCATCAGATCGATTTTCCACCAAGTGGACGGCAAACGTTTTAATCAATAACGAGAGAGAGAGAAACTAAAGTCGATCTCATAAATTTATTGAAAAAGCTTTGTATTTTTAATGAGCAATTTACTGAAATGTTAAAATATCAAAACTGACAACGATCTATCAATAATTTTTTTTTTCAATGATATGTGATCAACACCGATCTGTCATTTTGCACTGCCAATAATCTAATGATAAGAATTCGCAGTCGAAAGAATATATGACGAACATTCTATAATACTGTTTCTCGATCTTTGCTTTAAACAATTCACTGTTACTATCCAGTTAACGATCTCACTGATTTTAACACTGCGCCTTCATTCCTAAACGCGCCGCGACTTATCATTAACAGCGTTTTCGCGGCTAGTTTATTTTATTCGGCAAACACGCGACGTTCGTTGGTTAGTTAATTGGTTGGTTGGTTTGCACATCTGTGTCCTTTCACCCTTTTACGTTTGTCCCCGATCCATCGAATCGCGTGATCGTATTCGCCGATGCTGCACCAATACACAAACCCTGCGGGCGATTTGCTCGATAGGAGTTGATTAAACCAAATCAATGCAGCTAATAATATCGTTTGTTAAGGCTCAAATGCATTTACGCGACCGAGCAGGTAATTTTTGTCATCGTGCTATCGACCTTGTTGAGCTTGTTACTATTCTATCGTTTTACGTGAATACAAATGTTCTGAACTGTGATACTTTCGATTACCATGATTTTCGTACTTTCTTTTGCATGTGGAATGAACGACAAAATAGGGATGAACAGTTTCCGTATTAATAGTTTCTACTAATTAATCTTCTATCTACAATTTTCTAGTAAAAATGTATATTATACATTTAACGTACTAATAATCTATAAAAGAGAGGAAACAAAAGAGTTTTTTCTAGTAAAAATGTATGTTATATTGTACATTTAGCATACTAATGATATATAAAAGAGAAGAAATAAAGAGTTTTTTTTTAACAAAGTACAACTTTCAAATGTATTTAAGTAGCAAAATGGTACTGTTTACTCGAATTTAGGAGATTCTGCCTTTTCTAAGTCCTACGAATGATGGATCGCAGACAAGGAAACAGGTAAATGTTGATACAAGTTGTTAGTTTACATAGTAAGTTCACATAACTTCATGTTTCCTCGGCTTAGTCTAATTAATTATACGAATCTCGGGATTGGCATGTTAAGGGGCCGCGTACGTTCACATGCTTCCGTATGATATAATATCTAGGTAAATCTACCTAGCTATTCGTGACTAACTACCGTCAGTGAATGGTGGCACAAAGGGGTGGATAGGGTGTGGAACCATAACCAAATGAGACGCACGAAGACCTAACGGAAGTGTTTACATTTGTGATTGGCGAGCATTGACTATTTATGTAATTTTAAAATTTTTGATGCACCTACCGCGTTTCTCTTAAATTTCTTAAATACCCAAAAGTCACAATTCCGTGTTGATGCACTTTTCTATTTAATATCATATGTTCTTTCAAATTCCATTTACTTTTTGTGACTCTCTTAAGAAAATGTGTTTTTAATTAGAATTTAAAATACAGGTATCTCTCTACTTACAACTATTTCCACTTACGGATTTTCAGACTTACGACTGGTATGCGCCAAGAATTAAAAAGAGATAAAGAGTAAGTTGAACCGAGATTAAAGTTAATTTACATTGGTAGAAACGAGCATTAACTTACTTTTTCACATA